CCCCACCCCCAACAGCTTTGCCAGCTCTTCATGGGCAGAGGAAGGCTTAACCAAAGAGCTCGAATCACAGAACATCCTGCCTTGGAAGGGACCCACAAGGGTCGCCCAGTCCAACTCCTGGCCCTGTGCAGGACAGCACAGCCATCCCACCCTGTGCCTGAGAGCGTTGTCCAAACGCTCCTTGAGCTCTGGCAGCCTTGGGGCCGTGACCACTGCCCTGGGCAGCCTGTTCCAGTGCCCCACCACCCTCCGGGGGAAGCACCTTTTCCTAATGTCCAACCTAAGCCTCCGCTGACACAGCTCCGGCCATTCCCTCGCGTCCTGTCCCTGGTCCCACAGGGCAGAAATGGCCGCTGCCCCTTGGCAGGAAGCTGCAGCCCCCCATGAGATCTGACCTCAGTCTCCTCTTCTCCAGGCTCAACAGCCCCACTGACCTCAGACCTCAAGGCCAAGGTCCTGCACCTGGCTCAGGGCTTGGCTGGTGCCACCTGGCACAACAGCAACTTGCAAATTTTGCAACACAACAGGGAGGACCAAGAAGGCTTTGGCTAAGAGACACTGTTTACAAGGGACTGCAGTGACAGACCAAGGGGCAATGGCTTCGCGCCGGCAGAGGGCAGGCTTAGATGGCATACGGCAAAGAAAGCCTTCCCTGGGAGAGTGGTGGGGCCCTGGCACAGGTTGTCCAGAGAAGCTCTGGCTGCCCCATCCCTGGAAGTGTTCAGGGCCAGGTTGGACGCGGCTTGGAGCAAGCTGCTCTAGCGGAAGGTGTCCCTGCCCGTGGTAGAGGGGTGGTTGGAAGCAGATGAGCTTTCAGGCCCCTTCCTTCCAACACAAACCGCTCTAGGAGTCTAGGAGTCTTGAAAAACAGGAGACTTCTGCAGAAGCCAGCAGGTGAATAAAAACCTTTGCCACTTAAAGACAAAGTCTTGGTACCAAGGGGCATCACCTGATTCTGGGGACTACTCTCATGACTTCTCACCACTGGAAGCTGACATTGCTGAAAGCGATATAAATTGACCTAAAACTGACCAAACAATCCGACAAAAGCTCCCTGATGGAAGGATGCTGGAGCAAGCATATCATCCTGGAGGCAATGACAGGGCAATTTCTGCGCCTCTGCCGTAAACCTGTCAGTTCTGGCCCTGCCCTGGAGAGGTTTTTTTCGGCTCTCCATTCCGTGGGAAGACAAGTGTGGACAAGAAGAACAGGGTTCTGTCCGCTCAGGGTCAAAGGCGCTTTATAGGTCTGTGCTGTGATCTCTTGGAGTTGAGCTCCTGCCTAGAAAACGAGGGCTTTCGGGACTGCTCAGCAGCTGGCTCCTCACGTGGAATCAGATGTTCCAAGCAGGGAAGGGTATGTCCAAGAGGGGTTCTGCCCACTTGAACTTCTGAACTGGTGGAGCTCTCCTGGCGGTTCTGGGCATAGTGATTCCGTGGATGTCAATTGGCTGTTCTGGAGAAAAGCTGGGGATTAAAAGAAGGAGGGACAGAACCAGACTGAAAATGGGTGAAGGGGTTGCAGGAAGTGAGGCTGGGCAGCAAGAGCAGTGAGTGAGGGGAAAAAAGGATTTCAGGCAAGAAGGAAGAAGATCCCTGATGAAGAAGGCCTCAGGCACCGCTTCTTCATGCCTCCACGCTTCGTCTTACCGGATGTCCCTTCGCTTCTCCTCCCCGCACTTCGTCACGCAGCGCCACTCTTTCAGTAAATAGGAAGGTGCTCTTGCAAAGGGTGTAGTGCAGGCACGGTTGGCAGGGAGAAGCGAGAAGTCACTGGTTGCTCAGTTGTCAGTTCCCAAGAGGTGCCGTTTGCCCGGAGACAGGGGGCCCAGTCAGCAGCACAGAAGGTCTCAGGTGGCCACGTCCTCCCTTTTGAAGCGGCCTCCACTTTGAAAAATGGCAGTGGCCTTCCGAGCCACCTCATCGGGACGTAGTGGGGGGCACAGAGCAGGCGTGTCGGGAAGCCTGTAAGCCCAGAGTATCTCAGCCAGTGGAGAAACGGGCAGGGAGCAGCGCTGCGGGCAAAGGGGCTAAAAGGGGGCTGCGACCTCCACTGAGCTGAGCCACCTCACTGCCGTTTGTCCAGTGAAGTCTCCCTTTTATTGCAATAAAAGTTTATTTTTTTCGTCGGCTCCTCCATCTCCTGGCTATTTAGGTGTTTCCCACTGGCTGCAATTTCAGACGACCACAATCCCATGGTCTCTACAGCCCCGGCTGTCCCGCACCTTCCCATCTCCAACAAGGTCTTTGCGGTCTGTTAGTAAGAGGTGGAGCAGCACAGCATTCCTTTGGCTTGTCAGAGGCTCCAGCCCCCTGGGCCAGGAAGTTGTCGTCACCGCTTTCCGGGAACCTGCTGGACTGTTGGTGCTTGGCTGTGTTGCTTCTCCAGCTGCCGCCAGGGCAGTTGAAGTCTCCCCGAGAACCAGGGACTGTGACCTGGAGGCTGCTTCAAGCTGCCTGTAGAGGTCTCCTCCACATCTTGCTCCTGCTCAGGAGGCCTGCAGCAAACCCCCACAGCAGTGTGCCCATTCCCAGCCTGCCCGCCCTTTGATCCTGACCCATCAACTCCTGAGTGGCTCGCCATCCACCCCAAGACAGAGGTCGAGACCTTCCGAGTGTCACCTCCCAGAGATCTACGGATGTCGTCTCCCTGGGCTCCTGTGAGGCCCTGGATGTGGTTGCCAGCGCATTCTTCCCTCTCCCTTATGGGCCCTGTCCAATGCAGCCCCAGGGCAGCCCGGAGGAGCCCTGTCTGGGGCTGCGCTGGGCTGACCGGGGACACGGTGGGGTCACTGGGAGCAGCCTTCCAAAGCCCCAGAGCGGGAGGATGGTGCCCAGGCTCTGCTCAGGGCTGCTTTGGGCGTGGGGCCGTCTGCGCGAGTCCTGCACGGGACCCATGTGTCCTGGCTGCCACGCCAAAGGGCTGCTTCCCCAGGCGAAGGGGGCAGGGGAGTGACCCTGCGGGAGTGCCTGCACCTCTGGCAGTGACTCAGGCCCGGGGTGCCCTTTGGGTGCCCTTGGTGCCCTTTGGGCCTTGGTGGATCTGTTCGGTGCCATTTGCTGGGGCCACCCTGCACTCCCTCCCCATTCCATGCAGACACAGGCAGGTGTTGGAATCAAATCTTTTATTCCGTAACCAGAAGAAAACTGTTACGTTTTCTACGTAACAGTATCTACGGATCTACGTCTACATCTATCTCTACATCTTCCCTACATCTCTATCTACATCTTCCCCACATAAACACCCTCCCTCCCTCCCGCTGGGATAGATCCCCAAACGATCTATCCCTCCCACTGGCATAGATCCCCAAACGATCTATGCCTCACCCTGGGATAGGTCCCCAAACGACCTATCCCTCAAACTGGGATAGGTCCCCAAACGACCTATCCCTTTAACAGGCCTAAGCCAATCTTCCTGCCCCAGCCCCGGCTGCGGGAGCCTTGATCTTCATGGCAGGCCCTGGCTCAGAGCCCCTCTTCCTCTTCGCCCCCCGCCTTTCCAGCTTGGTGTCTCCACGGTCCGTGGGCACGGGGACGCTGCTGCTGCCACCATCCTGGCTGGTCCCTGCAGCCCCCGGGGAGCAAGCCAAGTGCCCCTGAGTCCCCTGCGGCAGGACCTTCCCACTCAGCAGAGCGCGGCTGGCTGGAGTCACCCCAGGCTCCCTGATGGCTTGGAGCTGGAGTGCGGCTGAGGGGCTGGCGGTGGTGTGCCTGGGCGGGGAGGTGTCCTCCTCCATGGCGACATCACTGGCCAGCGAGAGGTCGCAGCCTCGGGGGTGCGTCCTCCTCCATGGAGACGTGGCTGTGGCCAGCGAGAGGTCGCAGCGCGGGCGGTGTCATCCTCATGGACACGTAGGTGGCCGCGAGACTGGAGACGTCACTGGCCAGGCTGATGTTAAGTGCCGGGGTGACGTCCACATCCATGGGGGTGCTCCTGTCTGGGGGGCTGCCACTGCCCAGGGGTGTCCCGGAGGGGTTGGCTGAGCTGGCAGGGCTGCGCTGGCTGTGCCGCGCTGGTGGGACCGGGGCCACTGCTCTCCCCTGATGGTCGTAGGGCTGCAGTTGACCCTGGGGGGCACGTTGGTCTGCCCCAGCCAGCGGCTTCCCACTGCCCTGGGGCCCCCCCTGGGCAGTACTGGATGGAACAGCAGCACCAGGGCTGCTTGCCAGTGGGGCTGGTGGAGGCAGGTTGGCTGAGCCTGTGAGAAAGAGCAAAGCCTGGAAGTCACCTCCCGAGCTGGGGCCGTCAGGCGCTGAGAGGGCTGAGGAGGAGGAGGAGGGCCAGGTGCAGGGGAGGAAGGGCTGTCAATGTCCCCACCGTGCACTGCGGGGCTTTCGGGGTCAGGTTCTGTCCTCACCTTTGGTGCCGGAGCTTTGGGGGGAGCGGAAGAGCTGCACGAGCCGGGTCAGGGCTGATCTCCAGCTCACAGAGCGGCGCCACAGAGCTGACAGGGCCATGGTCAGTCACGCTCGGTGGCCGGTCGCTTCTGTTGACTGGACACAGGTCTGGATGCTCCTCTTGGAGCGTCTCCAGGGATGGAATGTTAGGCCTGCCATTGTTGTGTCCTAGAGACAGCACCAACAGCTGTCTGCCCCACCCCAACAGCTTTGCCAGCTCTTCATGGGCAGAGGAAGGCTTAACCAAAGAGCTCGAATCACAGAACATCCTGCCTTGGAAGGGACCCACAAGGCTCGCCCAGTCCAACTCCTGGCCCTGTGCAGGACAGCACAGCCATCCCACCCTGTGCCTGAGAGCGTTGTCCAAACGCTCCTTGAGCTCTGGCAGCCTTGGGGCCGTGACCACTGCCCTGGGCAGCCTGTTCCAGTGCCCCACCACCCTCCGGGGGAAGCACCTTTTCCTAATGTCCAACCTAAGCCTCCGCTGACACAGCTCCGGCCATTCCCTCGCGTCCTGTCCCTGGTCCCACAGAGCAGAAATGGCCGCTGCCCCTTGGCAGGAAGCTGCAGCCCCCCATGAGATCTGACCTCAGTCTCCTCTTCTCCAGGCTCAACAGCCCCACTGACCTCAGACCTCAAGGCCAAGGTCCTGCACCTGGCTCAGGGCTTGGCTGGTGCCACCTGGCACAACAGCAACTTGCAAATTTTGCAACACAACAGGGAGGACCAAGAAGGCTTTGGCTAAGAGACACTGTTTACAAGGGACTGCAGTGACAGACCAAGGGGCAATGGCTTCGCGCCGGCAGAGGGCAGGCTTAGATGGCATACGGCAAAGAAAGCCTTCCCTGGGAGAGTGGTGGGGCCCTGGCACAGGTTGTCCAGAGAAGCTCTGGCTGCCCCATCCCTGGAAGTGTTCAGGGCCAGGTTGGACGCGGCTTGGAGCAAGCTGCTCTAGCGGAAGGTGTCCCTGCCCGTGGCAGAGGGGTGGTTGGAAGCAGATGAGCTTTCAGGTCACCTCCTTCCAACACAAACCGCTCTAGGAGTCTAGGAGTCTTGAAAAACAGGAGACTTCTGCAGAAGCCAGCAGGTGAATAAAAACCTTTGCCACTTAAAGACAAAGTCTTGGTACCAAGGGGCATCACCTGATTCTGGGGACTACTCTCATGACTTCTCACCACTGGAAGCTGACATTGCTGAAAGCGATATAAATTGACCTAAAACTGACCAAACAATCCGACAAAAGCTCCCTGATGGAAGGATGCTGGAGCAAGCATATCATCCTGGAGGCAATGACAGGGCAATTTCTGCGCCTCTGCCGTAAACCTGTCAGTTCTGGCCCTGCCCTGGAGAGGTTTTTTTCGGCTCTCCATTCCGTGGGAAGACAAGCGTGGACAAGAAGAACAGGGTTCTGTCCGCTCAGGGTCAAAGGCGCTTTATAGGTCTGTGCTGTGATCTCTTGGAGTTGAGCTCCTGTCTAGAAAACGAGGGCTTTCGGGACTGCTCAGCAGCTGGCTCCTCACGTGGAATCAGATGTTCCAAGCAGGGAAGGGTATGTCCAAGAGGGGTTCTGCCCACTTGAACTTCTGAACTTGTGGAGCTCTCCTGGCGGTTCTGGGCATAGTGATTCCGTGGATGTCAATTGACTGTTCTGGAGAAAAGCTGGGGATTAAAAGAAGGAGGGACAGAACCAGACTGAAAATGGGTGAAGGGGTTGCAGGAAGTGAGGCTGGGCAGCAAGAGCAGTGAGTGAGGGGAAAAAAGGATTTCAGGCAAGAAGGAAGAAGATCCCTGAAGAGGCTCAAGGCAGCTCTCCTCAGCTCCACGCTTCTAGTCTTACAGGCTGCCTTGCTTCCTCCTCCCGCCGTCCCGAGCTCCACTCTTAGCAATAGGAAGGTGCTCTTGCAAAGGGTGTAGTGCAGGCACGGTTGGCAGGGAGAAGCGAGAAGTCACTGGTTGCTCAGTTGTCAGTTCCCAAGAGGTGCCGTTTGCCCGGAGACAGGGGGCCCAGTCAGCAGCACAGAAGGTCTCAGGTGACCACGTCCTCCCTTTTGAAGCGGCCTCCACTTTGAAAAATGTCAGTGGCCTTCCGAGCCACCTCATCGGGACAGAATGGGGGGCACAGAGTAGGCGTGTCGGGAAGCCTGTAAGCCCAGAGTGTCTCAGCCAGTGGAGAAACGGGCAGGGAGCAGCGCTGCGGGCAAAGGGGCTAAAAGGGGGCTGCGACCTCCACTGAGCTGAGCCACCTCACTGCGGTTTGTCCAGTGAAGTCTCCCTTTTACTGCAATGAAAGTTTATTTTTTTTCGTCAGCTCCCTCTATCTCCTGGCTATTTATGTGTTTCCCACTGGCTGGAATTTCAGACGACCACAATCCCATGGTCTCTACAGCCCCGGCTGTCCCGCACCTTCCCATCTCCAACAAGGTCTTTGCGGTCTGTTAGTAAGAGGTGGAGCAGCACAGCATTCCTTTGGCTTGTCAGAGGTTCCAGCCCCTTGGGCCAGGAAGTTGTCGTCACCGCTTTCCGGGAACCTGCTGGACTGTTGGTGCTTGGCTGTGTTGCTTCTCCAGCTGCCGCCAGGGCAGTTGAAGTCTCCCCGAGAACCAGGGACTGTGACCTGGAGGCTGCTTCAAGCTGCCTGTAGAGGTCTCCTCCACATCTTGCTCCTGCTCAGGAGGCCTGCAGCAAACCCCCACAGCAGTGTGCCCATTCCCAGCCTGCCCGCCCTTTGATCCTGACCCATCAACTCCTGAGTGGCTCGCCATCCACCCCAAGACAGAGGTCGAGACCTTCCGAGTGTCACCTCCCAGAGATCTACGGATGTCGTCTCCCTGGGCTCCTGTGAGGCCCTGGATGTGGTTGCCAGCGCATTCTTCCCTCTCCCTTATGGGCCCTGTCCAATGCAGCCCCAGGGCAGCCCGGAGGAGCCCTGTCTGGGGCTGCGCTGGGCTGACCGGGGACACGGTGGGGTCACTGGGAGCAGCCTTCCAAAGCCCCAGAGCGGGAGGATGGTGCCCAGGCTCTGCTCAGGGCTGCTTTGGGCGTGGGGCCGTCTGCGCGAGTCCTGCACGGGACCCATGTGTCCTGGCTGCCACGCCAAAGGGCTGCTTCCCCAGGCGAAGGGGGCAGGGGAGTGACCCTGCGGGAGTGCCTGCACCTCTGGCAGTGACTCAGGCCCGGGGTGCCTTTGGGTGCCCTTGGTGCCCTTTGGGTGCCCTTGGTGCCCTTTGGGCCTTGGTGGATCTGCTTGGGGCCATTTGCTGGGGCCACCCTGCACTCCCTCCCCATTCCATGCAGACACAGGCAGGTGTTGGAATCAAATCTTTTATTCCGTAACCAGAAGAAAACTGTTACGTTTCCTACGTAACAGTATCTACGGATCTACGTCTACATCTATCTCTACATCTTCCCTACATCTCTATCTACATCTTCCCCACATAAACACCCTCCCTCCCTCCCGCTGGGATAGATCCCCAAACGATCTATCCCTCCCACTGGCATAGATCCCCAAACGATCTATGCCTCAACCTGGGATAGGTCCCCAAACGACCTATCCCTCAAACTGGGATAGGTCCCCAAACGACCTATCCCTTTAACAGGCCTAAGCCAATCTTCCTGCCCCAGCCCCGGCTGCGGGAGCCTTGATCTTCATGGCAGGCCCTGGCTCAGAGCCCCTCTTCCTCTTCGCCCCCCGCCTTTCCAGCTTGGTGTCTCCACGGTCCGTGGGCACGGGGACGCTGCTGCTGCCACCATCCTGGCTGGTCCCTGCAGCCCCCGGGGAGCAAGCCAAGTGCCCCTGAGTCCCCTGCGGCAGGACCTTCCCACTCAGCAGAGCGCGGCTGGCTGGAGTCACCCCAGGCTCCCTGATGGCTTGGAGCTGGAGTGCGGCTGAGGGGCTGGCGGTGGTGTGCCTGGGCGGGGAGGTGTCCTCCTCCATGGCGACATCACTGGCCAGCGAGAGGTCGCAGCCTCGGGGGGCGTCCTCCTCCATGGAGACGTCGCTGGCCAGCGAGAGGTCGCAGCCGCGGGCGGTGTCCTCCTCCATGGACACGTCGGTGGCCAGCGAGAGGTCGCAGCCGCGGGGGGCGTCCTCCTCCATGGAGACGTCACTGGCCAGGCTGATGTTAAGTGCCGGGGTGACGTCCACATCCATGGGGGTGCTCCTGTCTGGGGGGCTGCCACTGCCCAGGGGTGTCCCGGAGGGGTTGGCTGAGCTGGCAGGGCTGCGCTGGCTGTGCCGCGCTGGTGGGACCGGGGCCACTGCTCTCCCCTGATGGTCGTAGGGCTGCAGTTGACCCTGGGGGGCACGTTGGTCTGCCCCAGCCAGCGGCTTCCCACTGCCCTGGGGCCCCCCCTGGGCAGTACTGGAGGGAACAGCAGCACCAGGGCTGCTTGCCAGTGGGGCTGGTGGAGGCAGGTTGGCTGAGCCTGTGAGAAAGAGCAAAGCCTGGAAGTCACCTCCCGAGCTGGGGCCGTCAGGCGCTGAGAGGACTGAGGAGGAGGAGGAGGGCCAGGTGCAGGGGAGGAAGGGCTGTCAATGTCCCCACCGTGCACTGCGGGGCTTTCGGGGTCAGGCTCTGTCCTCACCTTTGGTGCCGGAGCTTTGGGGGGAGCGGAAGAGCTGCACCAGCCGGGTCAGGGCTGATCTCCAGCTCACAGAGCGGCGCCACAGAGCTGACAGGGCCATGGTCAGTCACGCTCGGTGGCCGGTCGCTTCTGTTGACTGGACACAGGTCTGGATGCTCCTCTTGGAGCGTCTCCAGGGATGGAATGTTAGGCCTGCCATTGTTGTGTCCTAGAGACAGCACCAACAGCTGTCTGCCCCACCCCCAACAGCTTTGCCAGCTCTTCATGGGCAGAGGAAGGCTTAACCAAAGAGCTCGAATCACAGAACATCCTGCCTTGGAAGGGACCCACAAGGCTCGCCCAGTCCAACTCCTGGCCCTTTGCAGGACAGCACAGCCATCCCACCGTGTGCCTGAGAGCGTTGTCCAAACGCTCCTTGAGCTCTGGCAGCCTTGGGGCCGTGACCACTGCCCTGGGCAGCCTGTTCCAGTGCCCCACCACCCTCCGGGGGAAGCACCTTTTCCTAATGTCCAACCTAAGCCTCCGCTGACACAGCTCCGGCCATTCCCTCGCGTCCTGTCCCTGGTCCCACAGAGCAGAAATGGCCGCTGCCCCTTGGCAGGAAGCTGCAGCCCCCCATGAGATCTGACCTCAGTCTCCTCTTCTCCAGGCTCAACAGCCCCACTGACCTCAGACCTCAAGGCCAAGGTCCTGCACCTGGCTCAGGGCTTGGCTGGTGCCACCTGGCACAACAGCAACTTGCAAATTTTGCAACACAACAGGGAGGACCAAGAAGGCTTTGGCTAAGAGACACTGTTTACAAGGGACTGCAGTGACAGACCAAGGGGCAATGGCTTCGCGCCGGCAGAGGGCAGGCTTAGATGGCATACGGCAAAGAAAGCCTTCCCTGGGAGAGTGGTGGGGCCCTGGCACAGGTTGTCCAGAGAAGCTCTGGCTGCCCCATCCCTGGAAGTGTTCAGGGCCAGGTTGGACGCGGCTTGGAGCAAGCTGCTCTAGCGGAAGGTGTCCCTGCCCGTGGCAGAGGGGTGGTTGGAAGCAGATGAGCTTTCAGGCCCCTTCCTTCCAACACAAACCGCTCTAGGAGTCTAGGAGTCTTGAAAAACAGGAGACTTCTGCAGAAGCCAGCAGGTGAATAAAAACCTTTGCCACTTAAAGACAAAGTCTTGGTACCAAGGGGCATCACCTGATTCTGGGGACTACTCTCATGACTTCTCACCACTGGAAGCTGACATTGCTGAAAGCGATATAAATTGACCTAAAACTGACCAAACAATCCGACAAAAGCTCCCTGATGGAAGGATGCTGGAGCAAGCATATCATCCTGGAGGCAATGACAGGGCAATTTCTGCGCCTCTGCCGTAAACCTGTCAGTTCTGGCCCTGCCCTGGAGAGGTTTTTTTCGGCTCTCCATTCCGTGGGAAGACAAGTGGGACAAGAAGAACAGGGTTCTGTCCGCTCAGGGTCAAAGGCGCTTTATAGGTCTGTGCTGTGATCTCTTGGAGTTGAGCTCCTGTCTAGAAAACGAGGGCTTTCGGGACTGCTCAGCAGCTGGCTCCTCACGTGGAATCAGATGTTCCAAGCAGGGAAGGGTATGTCCAAGAGGGGTTCTGCCCACTTGCACTTCTGAACTTGTGGAGCTCTCCTGGCGGTTCTGGGCATAGTGATTCCGTGGATGTCAATTGGCTGTTCTGGAGAAAAGCTGGGGATTAAAAGAAGGAGGGACAGAACCAGACTGAAAATGGGTGAAGGGGTTGCAGGAAGTGAGGCTGGGCAGCAAGAGCAGTGAGTGAGGGGAAAAAAGGATTTCAGGCAAGAAGGAAGAAGATCCCTGAAGAGGCTCAAGGCAGCTCTCCTCAGCTCCACGCTTCTAGTCTTACAGGCTGCCTTGCTTCCTCCTCCCGCCGTCCTGAATCCGAAAAATCGGTCTGACAAACTGCTCAGAGACTTTTTTATCTTTAAGCAGCAAGGTATTTGTTTATTCAACGTTGGGAGCAAGCCAGCTCGCACTGGACAAACTTGCTCACCGGCTCCTCAGAAAATCAGCGCTTTTATACTAATTTTCAGATGTGATTAAATGCATATTCAAACGATTACAACATCTATCAATACATATTAAAAATAGGCGGAGTATAGGCGGAGCTCAGGGCGGTGCTTCTCTTGGCACCCCATTTCGAGGGGTAGTTCCGATCTTCATCCATAGGGCAGGGGGCTCTAACTCATCTTCCTCAGCTTGACCCTTCTTCCTTTCCATTGTTCTTGACCCGCTCACTGAAGCTTGGAAAAGGCCCTGGCTCCAGGCCTATTTCTCTTATTCAAATGTCTACCTGATCCTGTTATACTTCTAATTTATTGCTTCTAAGTCTATTACATGTTCTTGTACTATTCTCTTAAGCTTTGGCCCAGTAAGTGAACAGAACGGGTACAGATCGTTTTAAATATTGGTAACTTGTTTGCAGGCCCAAATCAACTTGTTTGCAGACCCAAATCTCTTAGTTAACTCTTTTGGGCCTAGCCCCCTATATCAGTCCCGAGCTCCACTCTTAGCAATAGGAAGGTGCTCTTGCAAAGGGTGTAGTGCAGGCACGGTTGGCAGGGAGAAGCGAGAAGTCACTGGTTGCTCAGTTGTCAGTTCCCAAGAGGTGCCGTTTGCCCGGAGACAGGGGGCCCAGTCAGCAGCACAGAAGTCTGGGAGCCCAAACCCAGCTTTCAGCAATGGAAAACAAGGGCTGACAAAAACCTCGTGATCTGAAGGAGCTGGACCCTTCTCACAAGACCTGTTAAAGTTCTACCTCGTGGATCAAGCCTGGCTCCAGCAGAAATCAGAAAGGACTTTTGAGATGATTGTATCAAACCATGTCTAAACCCCTGTAATCCCTCTATCCCCCATGTAATCCTACTAGAAGAAAAATTAACTCTTTGGAAATTGCAGTAAAAATTTGTGTAACTCCCCAATTAACATAGGTTGTCCCCTTCATTAACATACAGCCCCAGATGCCTTTAACATAGTGTTCTCGTGTTCAAGAAACTATTCCAGTTTCCCCATACTGGGATCGTGTCTAGCTTTTATTTTTCAGACCGCCACTAATGTCGCCACAACCGTGGGGCTGAGAACCTTCTAACATTTAGAAGATTCGTCGGACATCGGCTGGCTGGACCAAGGGAAGCAGCACTCCTTGTGTTTCGGTGGTGTGTGCGTAGTCAGAACTGAAAGAAGGCGGAAGACGTGCACGGAAACTTGTCCTCAGCAGGCGGGAACTGCTGAGTGAGCTGACTCGAACTCCACATTGGGTAATTATTTTAAAGAGTTTGTAACATTATAAGTAGGGTACAATGGGGACTCAAATATCTTCTGAACAAAACCACATTGATTTTAAAACGCGAGCTTAAGCAGCATAGCGCGAAAATTGACGAACAGCCCTTGCAGAACCTGTTGCTGTGGGCCCAGCGTCACATGTCAGAACTGAACGTTACCGACCTTCTTGATATGTGCTTGTGGGACTCGGCAACCGCCCGAAAAAACCTCAGCAGTCGCTGCCCGGGACGGGCCCCAGCCCCTGAGCGGAGCGCACAAGCACACTGCAGCCCGACACACGCTGCCCGGAGAGAGCCGTGGCAGACAGAACCACGGCCACCGCCGCTGCAGCCACCCTGGGCAGGGTCGGGGTGGGAGCCAGCGCCAGCGAACTGCCGCGCTGCCTCGGCAAGTTCCTGGATCGCCGCCCGCTACCGCTCTCAGCAGCAGCAGCCAAGCAGCGGCCAGAGGCGCGAGGTCAACACCTCAGGGAGCAGGTCCCTGAGGAAGGACCACCACCTCCGGCGCCCCAGCAAACAACGAGATCGAGAGACCCGCGCCGGCGGAAGCAGCAGCGGGACCCGAGCGGGAACCACTCCGAAGGCAGGAAGGACCCGGAACCCGGAAACGAAAGAGGCACCGGGAAAAACAAACCCAAGCAGAGCACAAGGTCTGCAAAAACCGGGGCTATGGAGCGTGAGCGGAGAAGAGGATCCCACAGAATCCCTGGGGAGCTCCGGGAAAGGTCCGAGGGAGGAAAGAGCCCAAGCGGGACCGTCGGCGAAGGAGGGAGCGAGCGGAAGCCCAGCGGCAACAGCACGAGAGAAACCCAGGAACAGAGGGACCCCAGAGACAAACGGAGTGGTGCAGACACAAAGCTGCCGACTTCAGCAGTAGTCAAAGCAACAAAAACCCCCTTCCTTGACTTTTTTCCTTTTTCTTTGCAGCCTAAACTAAGAACTGGTCTTTTTTTGCAAACCCTCTTTGTTTATCAACCTCTTTCAGTTTAACAGTGTGAGTAAGGCGAACAAAACGCTACCAATGGAGAGACTGTCCCTCTCCGCAAAACAAACAAACAAACAAACAAAAAAAAAAAGAAAGAAAAAAAAGGGGGAAGCGAGGGAAGCAAAGACCCTTTGCTGAATGAAGACACCCTTCCATAGCTAATAGCCAGAATTGTTTTTAAATGTATGCATAGTTGTATTTTTGAAAATTTTAAAGTTTTCACAATAACAATTTTCCTTAAGTCCAAAAGCCAAATTAACACAGAAACACATATATTTGCCCTAAAAATAGAAGAAGTATATATTTTATCCTTGAACTATAGGAATGTTTCTATGTATTTGAAATTGAAATTGAACATGAAGTAACATATGCTTATGTTTTTACAGGTTATACTATCATAAAAAACAGAAAACATATATTACTAATCTAAGGGTGAGAAACAAAAAACGCCAATTTCTCAGTTCATAACCAAAAGACACTGTAAAATGAAACCCAAAAGTATGTTTGTATGATGTGTGTTCGATGGCCATCGAGTATGAATGTGTAAATGTATGCATGCGTGTGAAAATACAATAATTAATAGGTTCTGATTTATACACAAATGCACATTACCTCACACATGCACAAACAGCCTTAGATAAAGAACAGAAAACATATCACCCTGAGTGGAATAGAATTTCATTTGCAGAAATGTTTTAGGTTAAATAAAAGTTTTCAAAAACAAACACTAAAAAACACTTTCAGGTAAAAGTCAGGAGCATACGAACCCTGAAGTCATCAAGTTATTAAGTTTGGTTCAAAATCAATCGCTTACAAGTCAATAGGATCTTTAGAGAATAGCTTCAATAAGATTTTATAAGAGTAATTTCTAATAAGAAATAATAGGAATAAGCTAAGTTGTTTAAACAAGTTTTATAATTTAGCATTGTTTGGAATTTTTCCTTCTTGCATTTTGTTCCTTGTTTACTTTTCTATATCCAAAAATGTTTGATAGTCTTTTTGATTGGTTTAATGTTCTTAATGTTAGTGCTAGGATTAAGAAGATAATTTATGTAGCAATATGCAGAATGCCTTAAAACAGCTGTGATTCCTTCACATGCCTTTATAATGCCAAACCTTGTGGCCCAAACTATTCTGACACACAATGCCTTTGCATAATCATACTTTCCATCTCAGGTATATAAAAGACTGTACATTGCCTTGAAAAAGGAGCCTCCTTGCTAACATTAATTTCACTTGTGGTATTAAAAGTAAGACTGCAATATTTCTTGTTAGATCCACTTAAGAATACATTTGCTTCTAAAATGCAGCTATAGAATTTGTTATTACTCACTCTGAACTAATGCATCAAAGCATTGATAGTTGAAGAAAAAAATAGTAATCAAAACAGACTACATGTTTTAATAGCAAGATAAATTTAATACTCTAGTTAAAGAAAACAATTATGGTAATATTTGTATTCCCTTGTATTTTGTCTTCCATTAGCAAACGTCTGATCAATGTTTTTTCCGAGTTTTTTGGTTTTTAGAAAACTAAAAAAGAAGGGGCAGATGTGGGAGCCCAAACCCAGCTTTCAGCAAAGGAAAACAAGGGCTGACAAAAACCTCCTGATCTGAAGGAGCTGGACCCTTCTCACAAGACCTGTTAAAGTTCTACCTCATGGATCAAGCCTGGTTCCAGCAGAAGTAAGAAAGGACTTTTGAGATGATTGTATCAAACCATGTCTAAACCCCTGTAATCCCTCTATCCCCCATGTAATCCTACTAGAAGAAAAATTAACTCTTTGGAAATTGCAGTAAAAATTTGTGTAACTCCCCAATTAACATAGGTTGTCCCCTTCATTAACATACAGCCCCAGATGCCTTTAAAATAGTGTTCTCGTGTTCAAGAAACTATTCCAGTTTCCCCATACTGGGATCGTGTCTAGCTTTTATTTTTCAGACCGCCACTCAGAAGGTCTCAGGTGACCACGTCCTCCCTTTTGAAGCGGCCTCCACTTTGAAAAATGTCAGTGGCCTTCCGAGCCACCTCATCGGGACGTAATGGGGGGCACAGAGTAGGCGTGTCGGGAAGCCTGTAAGCCCAGAGTGTCTCAGCCAGTGGAGAAACGGGCAGGGAGCAGCGCTGCGGGCAAAGGGGCTAAAAGGGGGCTGCGACCTCCACTGAGCTGAGCCACCTCACTGCCGTTTGTCCAGTGAAGTCTCCCTTTTCTTGCAATAAAAGTTTATTTTTTTTCGTCGGCTCCTCCATCTCCTGGCTATTTAGGTGTTTCCCACTGGCTGCAATTTCAGACGACCACAATCCCATGGTCTCTACAGCCCCGGCTGTCCCGCACCTTCCCATCTCCAACAAGGTCTTTGCGGTCTGTTAGTAAGAGGTGGAGCAGCACAGCATTCCTTTGGCTTGTCAGAGGCTCCAGCCCACCGGGCCAGGAAGTTGTCGTCACCGCTTTCCGGGAACCTGCTGGACTGTTGGTGCTTGGCTGTGTTGCTTCTCCAGCTGCCGCCAGGGCAGTTGAAGTCTCCCCGAGAACCAGGGACTGTGACCTGGAGGCTGCTTCAAGCTGCCTGTAGAGGTCTCCTCCACATCTTGCTCCTGCTCAGGAGGCCTGCAGCAAACCCCCACAGCAGTGTGCCCATTCCCAGCCTGCCCGCCCTTTGATCCTGACCCATCAACTCCTGAGGGGCTCGCCATCCACCCCAAGACAGAGGTCGAGACCTTCCGAGTGTCACCTCCCAGAGATCTACGGATGTCGTCTCCCTGGGCTCCTGTGAGGCCCTGGATGTGGTTGCCAGCGCATTCTTCCCTCTCCCTTATGGGCCCTGTCCAGTGCAGCCCCCGGGCAGCCCGGAGGAGCCCTGTCTGGGGCTGCGCTGGGCTGACCGGGGACACGGTGGGGTCACTGGGAGCAGCCTTCCAAAGCCCCAGAGCGGGAGGATGGTGCCCAGGCTCTGCTCAGGGCTGCTTTGGGCGTGGGGCTGTCTGCGCGAGTCCTGCACGGGACCCATGTGTCCTGGCTGCCACGCCAAAGGGCTGCTTCCCCAGGCGAAGGGGGCAGGGGAGTGACCCTGCGGGAGTGCCTGCACCTCTGGCAGTGACTCAGGCCCGGGGTGCCCTTTGGGTGCCCTTGGTGCCCTTTGGGTGCCCTTGGTGCCCTTTGGGCCTTGGTGGATCTGCTTGGGGCCATTTGCTGGGGCCACCCTGCACTCCCTCCCCATTCCATGCAGACACAGGCAGGTGTTGGAATCAAATCTTTTATTCCGTAACCAGAAGAAAACTGTTACGTTTTCTACGTAACAGTATCTACGGATCTACGTCTACATCTATCTCTACATCTTCCCTACATCTCTATCTACATCTTCCCCACATAAACACCCTCCCTCCCTCCCGCTGGGATAGATCCCCCAACGATCTATCCCTCCAACTGGCATAGATCCCCAAACGATCTATGCCTCAACCTGGGATAGGTCCCCAAACGACCTATCCCTCAAACTGGGATAGGTCCCCAAACGACCTATCCCTTTAACAGGCCTAAGCCAATCTTCCTGCCCCAGCCCCGGCTGCGGGAGCCTTGATCTTCATGGCAGGCCCTGGCTCAGAGCCCCTCTTCCTCTTCGCCCCCCGCCTTTCCAGCTTGGTGTCTCCACGGTCCGTGGGCACGGGGACGCTGCTGCTGCCACCATCCTGGCTGGTCCCTGCAGCCCCCGGGGAGCAAGCCAAGTGCCCCTGAGTCCCCTGCGGCAGGACCTTCCCACTCAGCAGAGCGCGGCTGGCTGGAGTCACCCCAGGCTCCCTGATGGCTTGGAGCTGGAGTGCGGCTGAGGGGCTGGCGGTGGTGTGCCTGGGCGGGGAGGTGTCCTCCTCCATGGCGACATCGCTGGCCAGCGAGAGGTCGCAGCCTCGGGGGGCGTCCTCCTCCATGGAGACGTCGGTGGCCAGCGAGAGGTCGCAGCCTCGGGGGGTGTCCTCCTCCATGGAGACGTCGCTGGCCAGCGAGAGGTCGCAGCCGCGGGCGGTGTCCTCCTCCATGGAGACGTCGGTGGGCAGCGAGAGGTCGCAGCCGCGGGGGGCGTCCTCCTCCATGGAGACGTCACTGGCCAGGCTGATGTTAAGTGCCGGGGTGACGTCCACATCCATGGGGGTGCTCCTGTCTGGGGGGCTGCCACTGCCCAGGGGTGTCCCGGAGGGGTTGGCTGAGCTGGCAGGGCTGTGCCGCGCTGGTGGGACCGGGGCCACTGCTCTCCCCTGATGGTCGTAGGGCTGCAGTTGACCCTGGGGGGCACGTTGGTCTGCCCCAGCCAGCGGCTTCCCACTGCCCTGGGGCCCCCCCTGGGCAGTACTGGATGGAACAGCAGCACCAGGGCTGCTTGCCAGTGGGGCTGGTGGAGGCAGGTTGGCTGAGCCTGTGAGAAAGAGCAAAGCCTGGAAGTCACCTCCCGAGCTGGGGCCGTCAGGCGCTGAGAGGGCTGAGGAGGAGGAGGAGGGCCAGGTGCAGGGGAGGAAGGGCTGTCAATGTCCCCACCGTGCACTGCGGGGCTTTCGGGCTCAGGCTCTGTCCTCACCTTTGGTGCCGGAGCTTTGGGGGGAGCAGAAGAGCTGCACCAGCCGGGTCAGGGCTGATCTCCAGCTCACAGAGCGGCGCCACAGAGCTGACAGGGCCATGGTCAGTCACGCTCGGTGGCCGGTCGCTTCTGTTGACTGGACACAGGTCTGGATGCTCCTCTTGGAGCGTCTCCAGGGATGGAATGTTAGGCCTGCCATTGTTGTGTCCTAGAGACAGCACCAACAGCTGTCTGCCCCACCCCCAACAGCTTTGCCAGCTCTTCATGGGCAGAGGAAGGCTTAACCAAAGAGCTCGAATCACAGAACATCCTGCCTTGGAAGGGACCCACAAGGCTCGCCCAGTCCAACTCCTGGCCCTGTGCAGGACAGCACAGCCATCCCACCCTGTGCCTGAGAGCGTTGTCCAAACGCTCCTTGAGCTCTGGCAGCCTTGGGGCCGTGACCACTGCCCTGGGCAGCCTGTTCCAGTGCCCCACCACCCTCCGGGGGAAGCACCTTTTCCTAATGTCCAACCTAAGCCTCCGCTGACACAGCTCCGGCCATTCCCTCGCGTCCTGTCCCTGGTCCCACAGAGCAGAAATGGCCGCTGCCCCTTGGCAGGAAGCTGCAGCCCCCCATGAGATCTGACCTCAGTCTCCTCTTCTCCAGGCTCAACAGCCCCACTGACCTCAGACCTCAAGGCCAAGGTCCTGCACCTGGCTCAGGGCTTGGCTGGTGCCACCTGGCACAACAGCAACTTGCAAATTTTGCAACACAACAGGGAGGACCAAGAAGGCTTTGGCTAAGAGACACTGTTTACAAGGGACTGCAGTGACAGACCAAGGGGCAATGGCTTCGCGCCGGCAGAGGGCAGGCTTAGATGGCATACGGCAAAGAAAGCCTTCCCTGGGAGAGTGGTGGGGCCCTGGCACAGGTTGTCCAGAGAAGCTCTGGCTGCCCCATCCCTGGAAGTGTTCAGGGCCAGGTTGGACGCGGCTTGGAGCAAGCTGCTCTAGCGGAAGGTGTCCCTGCCCGTGGCAGAGGGGTGGTTGGAAGCAGATGAGCTTTCAGGCCCCTTCCTTCCAACACAAACCGCTCTAGGAGTCTAGGAGTCTTGAAAAACAGGAGACTTCTGCAGAAGCCAGCAGGTGAATAAAAACCTTTGCCACTTAAAGACAAAGTCTTGGTACCAAGGGGCATCACCTGATTCTGGGGACTACTCTCATGACTTCTCACCACTGGAAGCTGACATTGCTGAAAGCGATATAAATTGACCTAAAACTGACCAAACAATCCGACAAAAGCTCCCTGATGGAAGGATGCTGGAGCAAGCGTATCATCCTGGAGGCAATGACAGGGCAATTTCTGCGCCTCTGCCGTAAACCTGTCAGTTCTGGCCCTGCCCTGGAGAGGTTTTTTTCGGCTCTCCATTCCGTGGGAAGACAAGCGTGGACAAGAAGAACAGGGTTCTGTCCGCTCAGGGTCAAAGGCGCTTTATAGGTCTGTGCTGTGATCTCTTGGAGTTGAGCTCCTGTCTAGAAAACGAGGGCTTTCGGGACTGCTCAGCAGCTGGCTCCTTACGTGGAATCAGATGTTCCAAGCAGGGAAGGGTATGTCCAAGAGGGGTTCTGCCCACTTGAACTTCTGAACTTGTGGAGCTCTCCTGGCGGTTCTGGGCATAGTGATTCCGTGGATGTCAATTGACTGTTCTGGAGAAAAGCTGGGGATTAAAAGAAGGAGGGACAGAACCAGACTGAAAATGGGTGAAGGGGTTGCAGGAAGTGAGGCTGGGCAGCAAGAGCAGTGAGTGAGGGGAAAAAAGGATTTCAGGCAAGAAGGAAGAAGATCCCTGAAGAGGCTCAAGGCAGCTCTCCTCAGCTCCACGCTTCTAGTCTTACAGGCTGCCTTGCTTCCTCCTCCCGCCGTCCCGAGCTCCACTCTTAGCAATAGGAAGGTGCTCTTGCAAAGGGTGTAGTGCAGGCACGGTTGGCAGGGAGAAGCGAGAAGTCACTGGTTGCTCAGTTGTCAGTTCCCAAGAGGTGCCGTTTGCCCGGAGACAGGGGGCCCAGTCAGCAGCACAGAAGGTCTCAGGTGACCATGTCCTCCCTTTTGAAGCGGCCTCCACTTTGAAAAATGTCAGTGGCCTTCCGAGCCACCTCATCGGGACGTAATGGGGGGCACAGAGTAGGCGTGTCGGGAAGCCTGTAAGCCCAGAGTGTCTCAGCCAGTGGAGAAACGGGCAGGGAGCAGCGCTGCGGGCAAAGGGGCTAAAAGGGGGCTGCGACCTCCACTGAGCTGAGCCACCTCACTGCCGTTTGTCCAGTGAAGTCTCCCTTTTCTTGCAATAAAAGTTTATTTTTTTTCGTCGGCTCCTCCATCTCCTGGCTATTTAGGTGTTTCCCACTGGCTGCAATTTCAGACGACCACAATCCCATGGTCTCTACAGCCCCGGCTGTCCCGCACCTTCCCATCTCCAACAAGGTCTTTGCGGTCTGTTAGTAAGAGGTGGAGCAGCCCAGCATTCCTTTGGCTTGTCAGAGGCTCCAGCCCCCTGGGCCAGGAAGTTGTCGTCACCGCTTTCCGGGAACCTGCTGGACTGTTGGTGCTTGGCTGTGTTGCTTCTCCAGCTGCCGCCAGGGCAGTTGAAGTCTCCCCGAGAGCCAGGGACTGTGACCTGGAGGCTGCTTCAAGCTGCCTGTAGAGGTCTCCTCCACATCTTGCTCCTGCTCAGGAGGCCTGCAGCAAACCCCCACAGCAGTGTGCCCATTCCCAGCCTGCCCGCCCTTTGATCCTGACTCATCAACTCCTGAGTGGCTCGCCATCCACCCCAAGACAGAGGTCGAGACCTTCCGAGTGTCACCTCCCAGAGATCTACGGATGTCGTCTCCCTGGGCTCCTGTGAGGCCCTGGATGTGGTTGCCAGCGCATTCTTCCCTCTCCCTTATGGGCCCTGTCCATCGCAGCCCCAGGGCAGCCCGGAGGAGCCCTGTCTGGGGCTGCGCTGGGCTGACCGGGGACACGGTGGGGTCACTGGGAGCAGCCTTCCAAAGCCCCAGAGCGGGAGGATGGTGCCCAGGCTCTGCTCAGGGCTGCTTTGGGCGTGGGGCCGTCTGCGCGAGTCCTGCACGGGACCCATGTGTCCTGGCTGCCACGCCAAAGGGCTGCTTCCCCAGGCGAAGGGGGCAGGGGAGTGACCCTGCGGGAGTGCCTGCACCTCTGGCAGTGACTCAGGCCCGGGGTGCCCTTTGGGTGCCCATGGTGCCCTTTGGGCCTCGGTGGATCTGCTTGGGACCATTTGCTGGGGCCACCCTGCACTCCCTCCCCATTCCATGCAGACACAGGCAGGTGTTGGAATCAAATCTTTTATTCCGTAACCAGAAGAAAACTGTTACGTTTTCTACGTAACAGTATCTACGGATCTACGTCTACATCTATCTCTACATCTTCCCTACATCTCTATCTACATCTTCCCCACATAAACACCCTCCCTCCCTCCCGCTGGGATAGATCCCCAAACGATCTATCCCTCCCACTGGCATAGATCCCCAAACGATCTATGCCTCACCCTGGGATAGGTCCCCAAACGACCTATCCCTCAAACTGGGATAGGTCCCCAAACGACCTATCCCTTTAACAGGCCTAAGCCAATCTTCCTGCCCCAGCCCCGGCTGCGGGAGCCTTGATCTTGATGGCAGGCCCTGGCTCAGAGCCCCTCTTCCTCTTGGCCCCCCGCCTTTCCAGCTTGGTGTCTCCACGGTCCGTGGGCACGGGGACGCTGCTGCTGCCACCATCCTGGCTGGTCCCTGCAGCCCCCGGGGAGCAAGCCAAGTGCCCCTGAGTCCCCTGCGGCAGGACCTTCCCACTCAGCAGAGCGCGGCTGGCTGGAGTCACCCCAGGCTCCCTGATGGCTTGGAGCTGGAGTGCGGCTGC